CCAGCCTCCTGAGTCGCTGGGATTACAGGCACGCGCCACCATGCCCAGCTAATTTTTTGTATTTTTAGTAGAGACGGGGTTTCACCATGTTGACCAGGATGGTCTCGATCTCTTGCCCTCGTGATCCACCCGCCTCGGCCTCCCACAGTGCTGGGATTACAGGCTTGAGCCACCGCGCCCGGCCGATAATCGTTTTTTAAAAACTATCTTTGCATGTGTAGGGTTAATATAAGAAAAGTCATGCCCAGTGTTTGCTCTAAGTTTCTTGGACCTTGGGAACTAAAGTTATCATTTCTTTGGCAGTAAGCCTGGGGCATTAGGAGCTCATGATGACCCTGGCTTATTTCCGAGGAGCTGGGAATCTGGCCAATTCCCGTCTCTTCGAGAACCGTAAACAAAGCCAAGGATTGCTGTTACATAATGAAAACGTTCGTGAGAGACAAGACAAAGAGCAGCTGGTGTTTACTTTATGACCTAAGTTGAACTGCAACATATAAAATATAGACAAAAAAACCAAAGAGACGGAAAGAGGGAAAAAGAGAGAGAGGAAGAGAGAGATTGCGGAGAGCTGTGACTTGCGCCTTGCCCGTGCTGCTGTAACGCCGGTGCTGAGTGTCCGGACGGACGGTCTCTGGGTATGTCCCTTTTGTAAATAAAATCCTCTTCTTTTACCTATACCCTTTTTGTAAATAAAATCCTCTTCTTTTACCTTGTTATTCTCGGCTTGGTGTTTTCTTCTCGCGAACCTGCCTCCAAATTATAAATCCGAGCTCGGTATCATTCCTGTTCTTAGTAACGGAACAGCATGGTGAATCACATTTATTTACTTGTATATGATGAAACATCTTTGCATTCATAGAATAGAGTTTACATGATTGTGGCAAAATACCTTTTGTTTTGTGTATGAATTCAGCTTGCTAGTACTTCATGAATTTTTGTTTCAATTTTCACCAAGAATATTGGCATATAGTTTTCTTTTTTTGTTGTGTCTTCACTAGGTTTTGCTATCAAGATGGTACTGGTTTCAAATAACATTTTAGGAAGGACTTCCACCTTGATTTTTGAAATATACTCAGTAGGGGTCATACCAGCTTATCTTTGTATATGTGAAAAAAATTGGCTATGAATTCATCTTATCCAGGGCTTTCTATGGTTGGTAGCTGGTTTTATTACTAATTAAATATCTTTACATACTTTACATATTGTTTCTGACCTCAGGTGATCCATCCACCTTGGCCTCCCAAAGTGCTGGGATTACAGGTATGAGCCACCATGCCCGGCCTCTATTTTCTCTAAATTTTTTAGTTTGCTTGCATAGAGATGTACATAGTAGTCTCTGAGGATGTCTACTATTTATGTGAAATTAGTGATGATTTCACAACTCTAACAATTAAATAGATGCAATTAAATAGATGCTCCTTCCTTCCCTCTTTCCTTCCTTCCTTCCTTCCCTCCCTCCCTCCCACCTTCCCTCCTTCTCTCCTTCCCTCCTTTCCTCCTTCCTTCCCTCCTTCCTTCCTTCCTTCCTCCCTCCCTCCCTCCTTCCTTCATTCCTTCCTTTTCTTTCGATACAGAGTCCCACTCTTTTCACCCAGGCTGGAGTGCAGTGGCAGAATCTTGGCTCACTGCAACCTCTGCCTCCCAGGTTCAAATGATTCTCCTGCCTCAGCCTCCCAAGTAGTTGGGATTATAGGTGCCCGCCTCCATATCTGGCTAATTTTTATGTTTTTAGTAGAGACTGGGTTTCACCATGTTGGACAAGCTGGTCTCGAACTCCTGATCTCACGTGATCCGCCTGCCTTGGCCTTCCAAAGTGCTGGGATTGCAGGCATGAGTAATAAATTACAGGCATGAGCCTGGGTGGATGCACACTTTCTACAGTCTTACTAAACATAGTGCTAAATGTCCAAAAAGAAAATTAGAAAATAAAGCAAAGACATTCAGATTGGAAGAAAAGAAATGATTTTTGTTTGCAGATAATATATATATATATATTTTTTTTTTTTGAAGATGGAGTCTAGCTCTGTTACTCAGGCTGAGTGCAGTGGTGCAATCTTGGCTCACAGCAGCCTCTGCCTCCCACGTTCAAGCTATTCTCCTGCCTCAGTCTCCCAAGTAGCTGAGACTACAGACGCCTGCTGCCACACCTGGCTAATTTTTTGTACTTTTAGTAGAGACAGGTTTCAGCGTGTTACCCAGGATGGTCTTGATCTCCTGACCTCGTGATCCACCCGCCTCAGCCTCCCAAATTGCTGGGATTGCAGGCATAAGCCACCATGCTTGGCTGATATAATTTTAAGTACAGAAAATCCTAAGGCTTTACTAAGAACTACTGGAACTAATAAACAAATTTATTAAATTTGCAGAATACAAATCAACAAACAAAAATCAGTAGCATTTCTATACATGAACAATAACTATCTCAAAATGAAATTTAAAAAAAATCCCAGCTACAGTAACTGTAGTAACTATACTTTGAAATGAATTGAAGCAAAAAGGTGAAACACCTTATGTTATAATCTAAAGAACATTAAAGTAAAAAAATTAAGTAGGCTGGGTGCAGTGGCTCACACTTGTAATCCCACCACTTTGGGAGGCAGAGGCAGGTGGATCACTTGAGGTCAGGAGTTCGAGAGCAGCTTGGTCAACATGGTGAAAGCCCATCTCTACTAAAAATACAAAACTTAACCAGGCGTGGTGGCACGCACCTGTAATCTCAGCTACTTAGGAGGCTAAGGCAGGAGAATTGCTGAACCCAGGAGGCAGAGGTTGCAGTGAGCCGAGATTATACCACTACCCTCCAGCCTGGGTAACAAAGCAAGACTCTGTCTTGGGAAAAAAAAAATAAAAGTAATACACAAATGAAAAATATTACTCATTCACAAACTGGTACTATTAATATGGGTAAATAAGTGTGTTACACAAAATAATCTACAGATATAATGTAACCTATATCAAAATACCAGTGACTTTGTAAAAAAATTTTAAATGTATATAACATTTATATGGTACCACAAAAAACTTTGAATACCCAGAGCAATCAAGCAAAAAAGGAAGGCTAAAGGCATCACATAATCTTACTTTGAAATATACCACAATGCTATAGTAACCAAAGCAGTATACTTGAATAAAAATGAACACATAGAAACCAAAATTATATCCATGTATTTACAGCTATCTGATTTTAAATATAGATGACAATTTCTCAGGGAAAGGACAGTATAGTCTCTTCAATAAATGGTGTTGAGAAAACTTTATAGCCATATACAAAGCAATGAGACCCTCATTTCACACCACATGTAAAAATCAACTCAAAACAAATTAAGAAACTTACATGTAAGGCTTGAAACTCTGAAAGTAATACACAAAAATAGAATAAAAGCCCCATAACATTGGTCTAGGCAGTACCTTTTTGTTTTTTTTTTGATATGTAGTCTCGCTCTGTTGCAAAGGCTGGAGTGCATTTGTGTGATCTTGGCTCACTGCAATCTCCACCTCCCGGATTTAAGCA